ATATATATATATATATATATATATATATATATATATATATATATATATATATATATCATATATTATATATATATAATATTATATATATATATCACATATTATATATATATATATGTATGTATATATATATATATATGTATGTATATATATAAATATAAATAAATAAACTTACAAGGCAGCGGGGCGACAGATCTGGTTCCTGAGATAGCATTTGTGTCTGCAGTGGCTTTATCTGTATTTGCGTATAGAGTGCATGCGCTGTCTTTGTAGGTCCATGCTAGACAGGAGGGTTCAGCAGTGCATGCAGTGATACAATCATTGTATGAAGAAGCAGTCCTTTGTGCTGCTGCTGCTGCTGCTGCTGCTGCTGCTGCTGTTGCTGCTGTTGCTGCTGTTGCTGCAGTAGTAGTATAAGGAGAAGATGCTGTATTTCTTCCTCTTAATTTACCTAAAGAACGAAAGGGACTTGATCGTGGAGACAAACGAAAGGAGACAGGTGTTATAGTGTCTCCTCCAGCATAAGATATATTAAAACGTATAGAGGGTAAGGGTCTCTCTATAGAAGCAGAGATAGCAACAGCATCTGTCTCCTCTGTATCTATATTACTAACACCAATACAACCCTTTCCTAGTATATAACTCCACCCCATACAGTCAGGCTCAGCAGCACATAGAGAAGGACACTCAACCAAAGGCCTCTGTGCTATAAACAATTCGTCTCCTTCGGAGACAGTAAACACACGCCCCACACGGAGACTCTTTGGGTTTAATACAGTACCACAGAATGTTTGTGGGGTCCATGTATATGAAGGAGACGAATCAGATGCATGCAGCTGGCAATATACTTGTTGTTCTTCTGTCCCTCCACCTGTCTCCTCTGGTGTTAGTGTCTCTATACTAGCACTCCATGCACGACAAGAAGCATTGGCTGTACATTCATATATACATTCATCTACTGTTGAGACGGAGACAGTCCCTATAACTGTCTCCTCTTTATAGTGGCAGTTCGAGGCAAAAGAAGCTCTAGGATACAACCCCACAGTATATTGCTGCTGCTGCTGCTGCTGCTGCTGCTGCTTTTGCTGCTGTTGTGTCTCCTTTGTGTTTATAAACCCATCTATTGTTTTATAAAGGAGACAGTTTGTCTCCTCTCCAGCAACAAATACCCAGTAATGGCACTCTGAATCCTGCATACATTTATCTAAACATCCTTTTGGTGAATATACAGTTGTACTCTTAAAATATTTACCTAAAACACCAGAGGAGACAGATAAAGGGACTGTCTCCGAACACATGCGGGGACCGGAGACACTGTTGGGGTCATACAATACAGAGCTGCTGCCGTCTTGCATCAAAAAACAAGTGTCTCCTTTGTAGCTCCATCGTGTGCATGCATCTACCTTCTGGCAATCTAAATAACAACCAAAAGGAGACGATGCTGAGGTTATCTGTATATACACCCCACACAACACATACACACACACAAACACACAAACATACAAACACACAAATGCCTCCAACAAAAAGAAAAAGCAGCAGCTGCAACAGCAACAGCAACAGCAGCAACAGCAACAGCAACAGCAACAGCAGCAACAGCAGCAGCAGAATATATATAATGTATATATATAATGTAT